GGGTGGCGAAACTTCAGAGGGTGGAGTAGTCGCCGCTGTAACCCAGCAAAAAGGTAAAGGGACCGATAGACGCCCTAGGGGATCCCGGTCGAAGAGTAAAACAAACCTCAATGCTCCTCCATGGGAGAAAGCGGGTCTATCAGAGGACGTGTGGAGAGATCGGTGGGCACGGCAAGCTTGTATCAAGTGTGGCCAATATGGTCATAGCATGTACAAGTGCCGCAACAGGAAGGTCACCGAGAAGATCCCGCCTACTATGGGGCCGGCGGTAGGATCCTCTCTTCCCGTTGGAAGTAACGTTGCTAGCACTTTTGGCACGGCTCCGAGAAACACGTCGGGCCAGTAGGAATAGTAGTTGTTCCTACTAGGGTCGCGGTGGTGGATACACCCTCACCTTCGCGAGAAATGGCCCAAGCTACAGACTCTTCAGTCGTCCCGCAAACACATTCAGACCCATCGACCCTCTGTTCGATGAATGTGTTTGAATCCTTAGAGGAGCTAGAGGATGAGTGGTCTAGATCAGACCCACTAGCTTCTTGGACGACGTTAGTCAAAGCCCCTAGGAGTGAAATGTTTGTCAGCGAGGTAGTCATAGGAGGCCGTAAGGCCGGGGCCTATTACGACACTTGCTCGACTAGGAACTTTATTAGTCGCGCGTGCGTTGAGAGGCTGCGCTTACAGGGGCAAGTGCAGCGCCTGAGTCGACCTGTGGAGTCGACCTGCGCCAATAAACAACGCATAGTAGTCCATGACTACCTAAAAGACATAGAGTGTCTTTTCCCGTACGTGAGAGGGGAACTGAGGCATCATGTCTCATTCCTGGTTAGCGACGAGCTCCCCATGGACATGCTATTGGGTATGTACTACCTCTCCGTGGCACAGCCCCAGTTTGACTGGGACCGAAAGGTGGTCAAACACACTTTGCCAAATGGGGGAACCGCCAGATTACACAAGTTTAAGGCTAGTAGTATGATCGATTCCCACGGATTCTTGTGTGCGGCCGCGTTCTACAAGTATTATAAGCAAAATCCAGAGAGGAGGGTATGTATCTAGTTTACGTCTCTGCTGCAGGCGAGCCGGTAAAAATGCCGCCAGAGATAGAGGGAGTAGTTGCCAAGTACCCTGATCTATTTGAGGAGCCTACAGGGGTTGTTGAGAGGGAGGTCGTCCATGCTATAGAGATTATCCCAGGGTCTAGTATTCCAAAGGGTAGGATCTATCGGATGTCTCTAGGCGAGCTTGATGAGCTTCGCCGCCAACTCAAGGAACTCGTAGAAAAGGGTTGGATCCGACCGAGTGTCTCTCCTTATGGGTCTCCAGTTCTATTTGTACCTAAGAAGAAGGAGGGCACTCTCAGGATGTGCATTGACTATAGGGGCCTCAATGCCATCGCTGTGAAGAACAGAGAGCCCCTAACGCGCATCGACGATCTGCTAGATAGAGTGCAAGGGTGCTGGTACTTCAGCAAGATAGATCTGAAGTCCAGGTACCATCAGATTGCAATCCGGCCCGAGGATCAACACAAAACCGCTTTTCAGACCAGGTACGACCTGTACGGGTTTGTGGTGATGCCTTTTGGCCTCTGCAATGCTCCTGGCACCTTTCAGCACGCTATGAATCGGATATTCCATGACTACTTGGATAAGTTTGTCATCGTGTACCTCGATGACATACTTATTTTTAGTAAGACTGTCGAGGAACATGTTGCACACTTGGACAAAGTCCTCGATCTCCTGCGACAGCACAAGTTCAAGATCAACGGTGAGAAGTGCGAGTTTGGCCGCACCCGTGTCTTGTACTTGGGGCATGAGATCTCCGCGGAAGGGTTGAAGCCCGATGACGCGAAGGTCGCCAGCATTCGTGATTGGCCACGTCCTCAGTCCGTGACTGAGATGAGATCTTTCTTAGGGATGACAGGCTACTACAGAACTTTTGTAAAGAACTATAGCATAGTGGCCGCCCCTTTGACTGATCTAACCCGCCTTGACACCCCGTGGAAGTGGACAGATGAGTGCGAAGCTGCTTTCAGACATCTAAAGCATGCATTGACGCACTATGAGGTCTTGAAACTTCCTGATCCTGATAAGTTGTTCATAGTCACCACGGATGCCAGCCAATATGGTATTGGCGCCGTGCTCGCGCAACAGGAGGGGCCAAAGTTGAGGCTAGTAGAGTACATGTCCAAGAAAATGTCGTCTCAGAAGTTGGCTAAGTCCACTTATGAGAAGGAACTCTATGTGGTGTACAAGGCTCTCACCCATTGGAGACACTATCTCCTTGGGCGGTTCTTCATCCTTAGGACTGATCATCAGACCCTGAGATGGATGAGAACCCAACCGGTACTCTCTGACGCTCTCAAGCGTTGGATCGAAGTCATTGAACAATATGACTTTGACCCTCAGTATCTCAAAGGGGAGTACAACAAGGTTGCTGATGCCTTGTCGCGCAGACCAGACTTCTCGGGTGCGCTGATTACTGAGTTCGATCTGACGGATGATGTTACTCAGTCTTTGGTGGAAGCCTATCGCGAGGACCAGTTTATGTCCGAGATTATACGCAGACTTGAGGCGAAGGATAAGAAGACCTCCGCTGAGTTTGAGTTGATCAATGGGTTGCTGTTTCTCGAGAAGGAAGGGAATAAACGTCTATGTGTTCCTAGTAGAGAATCTTTGCGTAGTTTGTTTTTAGGCGAGTGTCATGACGCCACCGGCCATTTTGGGTTTAAGAAAACCGCAGCCAATTTGCTGCAAAGGTTCTGGTGGCCCACGATGTTAAAAGATGCTAAGCTGTACGTGGAAACTTGTCAAGTTTGTCACAGGACAAGCCCCGTACTCAGGCTCCTCTTGGGCTGCTCAAGCCCCTTCCGATTCCGGAACGGCCGGGTGAAAGTTTGTCCATGGACTTCATGGATACGCTGGTCACCAGCAAGAGTGGGATGAGACAGAACTTCGTCATCGTGGATAGGTTTAGTAAGTTTGCTAGGTTAGTAGCAATGCCTGAGACAGCAAAGACTGAGTACGTGATTAAGCTGTTCAAAGAGAACTGGGTAAGAGATTTCGGATTACCCAAGTCTATTGTAAGCGACCGGGATGTCCGGTTTACAAGCGAGTTATGGAAGGCCGCTGCAGCTGAACAAGGAACTCAACTGCAGACGACTTCTGGGAATCATCCCGAAGCCAACGGCCAGGCCGAACAGATGAACCGCGTTGTGCAACACCTGTTGAGGCATTTTATCAAGCCCAACCAGGTGGACTGGGACGAAAAGCTTGCACTTGTCGTCAGTCTGTATAATAACGCTGTACACAGCGCTACAGGGGTGAGTCCTAACAATCTACAACTAACGTTTAAGCCTAGACTACCCTTAGACTTCCTACTTCCTGACAACCAGCCAAGTGCTGCACCAGGCACACTAGAGTTTGCCTACCGATATGAACAGAAGATGCAGGAGGCTGTAGAGCACATGCAGAAGGCGCAGGCAGCAATGATAGAATCTGAGAATAAACATCGTCGCCCTTCTACATTTCAGGTTGGGGATAGAGTCTGGGTCAAGTCTTCAGAATTGGGACAGGAGTTCGGGATATCACGCAAACTCATGCCTCAATACTTTGGACCTTGGGAAGTTTTAGACGTAGTAGGGACAGATCCTGATGGCCCATCTTATGTCATCCGTATCCCTGGTCATCTCATAACTCACCCAGTCTTTCACGCCTCTAAGCTCGCTGCATTCGAGGAAACTGATCAGTTTCCCTCTCGTCGGTCAATGCTGCCCCCAACCATGGACGGAGAAGTCGACATCACTGATATCGTCGACCACAGGGAGATGCCCGTTTAGAAGCCTCCAGGAAGGGGACGTCCTCCAAAGCCAAAGCTGCAGTTTCGCGTCCACTTCAGACATCACACAGATCCGAAGGAGGACCGCTGGTTTACTAGGGAGGAATTGACGCAGACCGCTCCTCAAATCGTTGCCCGCTATGAGAAGGATGTATTAAAAGGAAAGCGCCAGATGGCTCAGGATTGATCTTCTCAGAGGACTAACGAAGATATGGAGGGAATGCGAGGCTACGCCCTCTCAGCCCCCTCGGGGCCCTTTTTGCAGTATGTCGGCCGCCCTAAGTGAAGGCAGGCGCGACAGGCCCTCAGGGCCTCAAATTTTCAGGGTACCCCGCAACTGGTGAAATTCAGACAATTGCGCTGCGCCAGTTGGTTGAAGGCGCCCAGGCCCAGGCCATATTTTGCAAATGTATCTGAATGGTGACCTGGGCCAGACTCGTGGAAAAGGCCGTGAGCAGGCCAAGGGCAGTTGGGCACATGTAACCATCAGGCCCTGGGCCTGCGTGTGGAGGTCTGGGCCTGTGCCTACCGGGGCCTACCGCAATCTTCCTGGACTGGACGCAGGCAGGCCACTTCGATATAGGGAAGGGCCTGCCTCCTCATTCGGCATTCGGGTGCTGGCTGCATGTTGCGCGAGCACTGCTACGCTATTTGCTGGCAGGTTGGCACTCACGCTCTCACGGGCGAGCAAGTAGTAGCGGGCAGCCATAGCCGAGCTGCTCTGCTGAGAGCTGGGTGTGACGCAGGGTGGTCCTTGGGTGCAAGTGGCATCTGTGTGGTGTGGATCGGGGTTGTGAGTGTTGCGAGAGACATACCTGGTGCTGGAAGCGTGCGGTATTGTCCGCTGTATGCTCGTACCTCAGGGAGCTGTTGTTGTCAACATCGGCATTGTAGTATTAGGCTAGATAGGATCTGCCACAAGTAGTCTGGGCGCTGAGCGCCAATAGGATATCAACTCTTGTTCTTCGTTGATGATGATGAGAGACTATTTCAACATTGTCAATTACGAACTATTGGTGTGTTCTAATTTGGTGAATCTCGTGATGCATGACTGCTGTTGGTTCGAGGTCAAGACTATCTGGACGCATATGTATGATGCTGTTTGATTGCTGGAGTTCGTTAATGCTCATCTTCCTTGCATTTGCGATTTTATTAGGAATATTCCGCAGTTTGTTTTGCGATTTATGTTCTTGAAAATAGGAATATCCCATGATTTATTCCCCGATTTTTATTTTTATTTTATTTTTTTTCCCATGAATTTACGAGAATTTATCTTTTTGAAAATCCCAATTATTTCGCGAATTCGTTTCTTGAATTTTATAATTATTCCGCGAATTTTTTTTTAATTATTTTGCGAATTTCACTTCTTGAAAATCCAAATTATTTCACGAATTTATTTCTCGAAAGTCTTTTCTGGAATCGTTTCGCTGATTCGTTTTTTATTTGTGCATACTGGAAGTTCAAATTTCTTTTTTCTGATTTTCGACATTTTTTTCAGAATTTGATTTTTTTGAAAAAACAAAAAAAAACTCTCTCCTTGGGTTAAGTTTTGGGTTCTTATTCCCCCATTTACTGCGCATACTTTCATCTGGAATTTAATTCGTATTATTATTATTTTTAATTCGGAATTAATTGGACTTGGAATTTTTTTTTTTTTTGCAGTTCCACATTATTCTGTATTTCAATTGCATTCTGAAATTCAAAATTTTATTTTATTCTTTCGGATTTCTATTGTTGGGGATTGGGAGCCTGCTGAACTTTCAATTTCGAATTTTTTTAATTATTGTTTTTTTTAATTATTTTATTCAAAAGTTTGAATAGAGACCTTGAAAATTCGAAATTTTAAATAAAATCTGTTGTTGGGCCTTGGCGCACAAGTTCAGCGGGCTCCCAGTTCGACGATCAAGTTGGCGGATGGTCGGATGCAACAACTCGATTGCTACATCGAAGTCGTGCCGGTTTACTTCGCACCTCATGCATGCGAACCGGTGACGTTTGACGTCTTGGATACGGACTTCGACATCATTTTGGGGATGTCTTGGCTTGCAAGTGCAGATCACACGGTTAACTTCCATCGACGGACACTTACCGTTCGCGATGCCTTCGGCGCCCACAAGCGGTTATCGGGTAACTGAAAATTCAGAAATGAAAATTATGAAGTGAGAGTTTTGGGCAGTCTGAAAATCCTGAATGGTTCTGAAGTGTTGAAAGGTCCGAAGACTCTAAAAATCACCTGTTTAGGCAGGCTGCATCCTGAAGTGGTGAAGGGTGTCCTGAAGTGGTGAAGGGTCCTGAAGTGGTGAAGGGTGTCCTGAAGTGGTCAAGTGAGAGTTTTGGGCAGTCTGAAAATCCTGAATGGTCCTGAAGTGGTGAAAGGTTCGAAGACCATGAAAACCACCCTTCACCACTTGAGGATGCAGCGTGCCTAAACAGGTGGTTTTCAGGGTCTTCGAAGCTTTCACCACTTCAGGACCATTCAGGATTTTCAGACCTGAATGGTCCTGAAGTGGTCAAAGGTCCGAAGACCCTGAAAACCACCTGTTTCGGCAGGCTGCATCCTGAAGTGGTGATGAAAAATACAACTATTGTTAACCTTCTCTCTCGGCGCCGAGGTGTTGTGTACCATTCCTCTTCCGCACCCTTCGATCCGGTGCCAAGTTGTAATGGCCAAGTCTTTTCGAGCCACTTGCGCTTACGAGCGGACCGACGAGATAGGCCTATGTTTTCTACGGACTGTCACGGCGACCGAATCTTCACCTACGGACTTGTCTTCGGACCCCCGAGTGGTGCGGTTGCTCGACGAGTTCACCGACCTCTTCGAGTCTCCTACCGGTGTGGTGTCGGATCAGCCGATCTCTCACGAGATCATTCTTGAGGCCGGTGTCGTGCCACCGAAAGGATGCATCTATCGCATGAGCGAGGAAGAGCTCGCGGTTCTCCGCGCGCAACTCGATGATTTGTTAGACAAAGGTTGGATCCGCCCTAGTAGCTCACCATACGGTGCGCCAGTCCTCTTCGTAAGGAAGAAGAACAAGGATTTTCGCTTGTGCATCGCTTACCGCAAGCTCAACGCACAAACCGTAAAAAATGCGGGACCTCTTCCGCCCATTGACGACTTTCTCAAGCGTTTCGGCGGCGCGAAATTCTTTTCGAAGTTGGACTTGAAGTCGGGCTATCATCAGATCTCGATACGCCTGCAAGATCGCTACATATCTGCATTCAAGATGCGGTACGGGCATTTTGAGTGGGTTGTTATGCCTTTTGGCCTCACCACTGCCCGATCGACTTTTCAAGAGGTGATGACCAACGAGTTCCGTGCGATGTTGGACCGGTTTGTGCTGGTCTACTTGGACGACGTTCTCATCTATAGCCGAACCTTGGAGGAACATCTCGAGCACCTTTGACATGTGTTGGAGACACTCCGTCACGCCAAGTACAAGGCCAATCGCGACAAGTGTGAATTCGTGCGTCAAGAGTTGGAGTACTTGGGCCATTTTGTTACACCGGAGGGCATCAGTCCGTTGTCGGACAAGATCCAAGCCATCCAAGAGTGGCCGGAGCCGAAGAACGTCACAAATGTTTGTTCATTACTTGGCTTAGTCGGCTACTATCAACGCTTTATCAAGGGATACTCGGAGTTCGCGACTCATCTATCCAAGCTTCAATGCGAGGACCAACCATTCGAGTTCGACGACAATGCGCGGGCTTCCTTTTTGTCCCTCAAAGCCACATTGCTATTCGCCGAGGTGTTGCGCATCTACGATCCGCTTTTGCCGACACGCGTCACTACCGATGCGTCCGGCTGGCATTGGTGCCGTCCTCGAGCAATATGATGGCGTGGACTGACATCCGATCGAGTACTTTAGCAAGAAAGTGCTCGTCGTGCACTCGATTGACGACGCACAGAAGAAGGAACTATTGGCCTTCGTACACGCGCTCAAGCACTGGCGGGGCATTTTTTTCTCGGTCGACGGCAGTTTCGATGGGTAACGGATAACAATCCATTGTATCTTCTACAAGACCCAAGACACGGTCAATAGCACCATTGCCCGTTGGATCGCCTTCATCGACCAGTTTGACTTTTTCCCCGACCACATTCCGGGCAAGTCTAACTGTTTTGCGGATGCTCTCTCACAACGTTCGGACCATTGTACCGCAGTCTACTCGACTCTTGAGATTGACGACGACTTGCAAGACAGCTTCATCCGCAGCTACCAAGCCGTCCCCGAGTTCCGCGACAAGTACGCAAATTGTTCCTCTCCCAATCCGGCGCCATTGCACTATCGCATCCAAGAGGGATATTTGCTCATCCACTCGCGGGGGAAGGATCTTCTTTGTGCACCGCGAGATTCACACTTGCGCACGCGACTTCTTGGCGAGTTCCACAACGCTCCCTCCACCGAACATTTTGGAGTCAATCGTATGATTGGCCGACTCAGCGAGCACTTTTGGTGGCCGGTCTTCTCGGACGACGTCACACGCTATTGCGAGTCATGCGAGGTTTGCCGACGTTGCAAATCCCGCAATCATTGTCCGTACGGCGAGTTGCGACCATTACCGGTCCCCTTGCGCCGAAGGGAAGCGATTGCCATGGACATTACCGGGCCGTTCCCCAAGCACAAGACTGGTGTGGATGGGATTCTCACGGTGGTCAACCGACTTACCAAGTTTGTCATGTTTTTGCCTTGCCACTATCATGCCAAAGCGCCGGAGTTGGCCGAGGTTCTTTACGCCGGTTGGATTCGAACCAAGGGTTACCCCAAGGAAATCGTTTGCAACCGTGATACTCGGTTCATGTCCGATTGTTGGTTGGCGCTCATCAAACGATGGGCCTCGTCTCTCAAACCGAGTTCGGCTCGCCACCCCCAAACCGATGGCCAAACGGAGAGGGCGCATCAGACCGCACAGGTCCTACTTCGCACTCTCATCCGTCCCGACCAAAAGGATTGGGTTGAGCAGCTGCTGGATGTCGAGTTGGCATACAACTCGTCTATCCATCCGGCTATCAGGATGTCGCCCTTTGAGTTCGAGCATGCCTCTCCGGTCACTTCTCCGTTGGACACGATTATCCCACAGGCGGCCAAAAGCGACAGCCATCTTCTCTTCATTCGTCGGATGCAAGAGCTTCTTGTCAAGGCACTCGACCAGATGTTGAAGACGCAGCAACGTATGCGCCAACAGGCCAACCGCCAGCGTCTTCCTTGTCCGTTCCGCGCCGGCGACCCCGTATGGGTCTCCGCCGCGTAATTCAGCCTCGAACAAGATATCTCTCGCAAGCTCCTCCCGAAGTGGATGGGGCCCTGGCCCATTGTGGCACCCGTCGGGGATGCACTTGGAGGACCTTCATTTGTCATGCAGGTGCCCGCCCACTTGCTCGAAGTTAACATTGTTCACTCCAGCGGAACACGACGACTTTCCCAGGCGACGATCGCAAGATCCACCCTCTATGGACGGTTTTCAAGAGGTTGGCGACATCATCTCCCAACGACGCTACGGCAACAGGCCGACAGAGTACTTGGTCCATTTCTCTTACTGTAGCCATAAGGTTGACCGTTGGTCGACCTGTACGGAACTTCAGGCAACAGCGCCCGACGTTCTCACACGTTATGAACGCAAGTTACAAGGCAAGCCGGTACCTTCGGCTCCACATCCTACTCGCGTCACACCCAGCTCTCAGCAGAGCAGCTCGGCTATGGCTGCCCGCTACTACTTGCTCGCCCGTGAGAGCGTGAGTGCCAACCTGCCAGCAAATAGCGCAGCAGCGCTCGCGCAGCATGCAGCCAGCACCCGAATGCCGAATGAGGAGGCAGGCCCTTCCCTATATCGAAGTGGCCTGCCTGCGTCCAGTCCAGGAAGATTCCGGTAGGCCCCGGTAGGCACAGGCCCAGACTTCCACACGCAGGCCCAGGGCCTGATGGTTACATGTGCCCAACTGCCCTTGGCCTGCTCACGGCCTTTTCCACGAGTCTGGCCCAGGTCACCATTCAGATACATTTGCAAAATATGGCCTGGGCCTGGGCGCCTTCAACCAACTGGCGCAGAGCAACTGTCTGAATTTCACCAGTTGCGGGGTACCCTGAAAATTCGAGGCCCTGAGGGCCTGTCGCGCCTGCCTTCACTTAGGGCGGCCGACATACTGCAAAAAGGGCCCCGAGGGGGCTGAGCGGGCGTAGCCTCGCACAAAATAAATCGCAGAATATTCCTATTTTCAAGAAAATAAATCACGAAAATAATCGCGGAATATTTCTAAGAAAATCGCGAAATAAATAATGGAATATTCCTATTTTCAAGAAAATAAATCACGAAATAAATCGCAGAATATTCCTAATTAAATCGTGAAATAAATCGTGAAATATTCCTATTTTCAAGAAAATAAAATCACGATTTAAAATCGCGGAATATTCCTATGAAATTGCGAAATAAATCGGATTGATATTCCGATTATCAAGAAATTATATCGCGAAAAATAAAAGAATAATTCCACGGAATATTCAGAAAAAATCACGGAAATAATTTTGTGGAATATTCCCAAGTTCCAAAAAAAATATCACTCGCGATTCTTGGAAATTTCCGATTTCGTGATAACAAATTTTGCGCAAAACAAGCGGTTTCGATTTCTGGAAAAAAATTGAAATGACAACTAGGCAGAGTTGAATCAGGAACGAATCAATCAATCAATCAATCAGCCCTAATTAACCAATCAATCAATCAATCAATCAATTGATCGGCCGATCGGGTTGATTGATCGATCTATAATCTGGGAGTCGAGATTCACAAGCGCATCTCCGATACCAACTGAAGCATGCCCAATCGGGCGATGTAGGGGGAGCCAAGGATCCACAAAGTGATGAAATGGACTCGTATGGACAATGCTGTGTCAGCCAAGCATCAACAAGCAATGTACATCCAAACACATATGGAATAGCACAATGTAGCGCAACGGAAGACTCAAGATATGATCTGACCTGTCAGATACTGACGCAACACCTCATCATACACCACACATGTGTGAGAGAGAGGAGGGACTGCATACATAGAAGAAAGGTCCCTCCTTGCACACGCACATGGGGGAAGATACCACGGACGAGAGATGGGGGGAGGTGAGACGAAGATGGAGGCGAGGGAGAAGACCGAGATCGCTATAGCGAAGTCCAAAAAATAGTCCCTGGCCGAGTGTCCAATCAATGTCTGCCGCAAGAAAAATGTTGAATCAGATCCTGAGCACATGCCCATGAAACTTCTGCCTGAACTCTCTCTCTCTCTCTCTCTCTCTCTCTCTCTCTCTCTCTCTCTCTCTCTCTCTCTCTCTCTCTCTCTCTCTCTCTGTGTGTGTGTGTGTGT